ACTAGGATTGCAATCTTGCTTTTTTTTCTGTTTTTTATTTGCTTGGTAGATTTTCCTCCATCCCTTTATTTTTAACGTACATGTGTCATTGTACATGAAATGGGTCTCTTGAAGACAGAATACCAGTGGGTCTTGGTTCTTTATCCATCTTGCCATTCTGTGTCTTTTTATTGGGGCATTTAGTCCATTTCCATTTAAGGTTAGTATTAAAATGTATGGTTTTGATCATGCCATCATGATGGTAGCTGTTTATTTTGCAGACTTGTTTATGTGGTTGCTTTATAGTGTCATTGGTATGTGTACTTCAGTGTGTTTTTGTAGTGGCTGGTAACAGTCTTTTCTCTGCATATTAAGCACTTTTTTCAGGAGTTTTTGTAAGGCAGATCTGGTAGTAATAAATTACCTCAGCATTTGCTTGTCTTAAAGGGATCTTCCTATTTCTTTTTTGCTTATGAATCTGTTTGGCCAAATATGACATTCTGGGTTCGAATTTCTTTTCTTTAAGAATGTCAAATATTGGTACCCAATCTCTTCCAACTTTTAAGGTTTCTGTTGAGAGGTCCACTTTTAGTCTGATGGGCTTCCCTTTGTAGGTTACCTGACCTTTCTATCCAGCTGTCTTTAACATTTTTACTTTTATTTCAACCTCAGAGAATCTGATGATTATGTGTCTTGAAGATGATTTTGTTTTGATGTGTTTTACTGATGCTTTCTGCATTTTTTGAATTTGAATGTTGGCCTCTCTAGCTAGGTTGGGAAAGTTCTCATGGATGACAACCTGAAATATGTTTTCCAACTTGCTTCCATTCTCCCCATTTCCTTCAGGGACACCAATGAGAATCAGATTCATTCTCTTTACATAACATTATATTTCTTGGATGTTTTATTTGTTCCTTTTAACTCTTTTTTTTTTCACTATTCTTGTCTGATTGTCTTATTTTAGAAAGTCAGTCTTTAAGCACTGAGATTCTTTTCTCCATTTGGTGTATTCTGCTGTTAATACTTTTCATTCCATTACAAAATTCTTGGAATGGGTTTTTTAGTTCTATCACATCAGTTATGTTCTTTTATGTACTGGCTATTTTGTCTGTCAGCTCCTGCATTGTTTTGTCATGATTTTTAGCTTTCTGGCATTAGGTTTCAATGTATGCTCATAGCTCAGATGATCTTCATTTGCACCCATATTCTAAATCCTATTTCCGTCATTTCAGCAATCTCAGCTTGGTTCAGAACCCTTCCTGGAGAGGTGACACAGTTGTTTGGAGGAAAGAAAGCACTCTAGCTTTTTGGGCATTCAGCATTCTTGCACTGATTCTTTCTCATCTTTGTTGGTTTATTTACCTTCAATATTTGAGGTAACTGACCTTTGGATGTGCATTTTTCTTCTTTTATTGTATTTGATTGCCTTGAGACTTTGATTGTGGTAAAATGTGTTTTCAACCAACTGTTTTTGTTTCTGGAAGATTTTGGGGGCCAGCACTCAGTTCCCAAATCTTGGACTTTGTGCTCTCTGGGAGACTTGTTTTGAATCTCATTTGTTTTCTGGCTCCTGGAGGTTTGGAATCCACTGCACTGTGTATATGGTGGTGGGTGAGGTGCAGCAGCTGCAGCAGAGTGCTAGTGGGTGCTGGAGTGCTTGCCCTGCTACAGGCATTCACTGGAGTGGTGAAGGCAATACAGCAGGGGGTTATGAGTGGCAGGAACCCCTGTTGCAGAGTGTGTGTGCCATTGTGCTGGAGGTGGTGTTGGCTTAGGGCCAGAATGCTAGTGGTGCAGGTCTGGGTGCCTAATCTGTGCCTTACAAGCAGGAGTGATTGCTCAGGGAAGGACCCACTGTTCTCTGTGCAGTGTTAGTGCAAGGGTGGGGTGCTAGTATGGGTAGGGCTTGCTGGCTCTGTGCCTGCCAAGGCTGAATCTGCAGTGGTGGTTGGTGGGGGGTGCGGGAGAGTGAATTGTGCTCCTGTGCTGGTGGACAGTGAAAGTAAAACCTGCCCATATAGACATGCACCAGCAAAGCAATGTGGGAAGTTACCATGGCCCTGGGGGAAGCTGCAGTATGGGGAGGGAGCAGACAGGCTTGTATGTGGTCATAGCAATCATCTCGTTGGAACTCTTCACCAGTCGGGCATAGTGCATCAGTGCAAAAGCTACAGTGTGGGCCCCAAGGACACCCAAGACTGCCCTGCAAGCAGACATGGCCAGGCTTGGGCCCCAGGATAGGCCAGTAGACCAAGGGATGCTTAGGTCAGACCAGTGCCATCTGATAGGCAAGACAGCCCTGTGGAGATCAGATCTGACAGTTCCTCTGGGCTGCTAAAGTCTCGGAGCAAGTTGAGCCTATGGGGATGGTTGGCCAAGTCCACACCTCACTACAGATGCTTCTTTACCAAACCATTTGAGCTCTACATCAGCTGGCTTGCTGTCTCTACCAAGTAGGGGTTGCAGTTCTAAGGGACAGCAGCTCTCCCAGCTAACTCAAAGTGTCTCTGGTGGTCAACGGGTCTCTTCCTGTTCAAGGTTCCAGAGGCCTATGGCGAGAGTGGGTTGCTTCTTGACAGTTCAACTCGTTCTGGAGCTATTGTGGTCCAGAAATGAGTCCCAGTATACGGTAGCCCCATGCATTGTTTCCAGCTTTCTGCTGCATCAGACCAGCTTCTGTGTCTTCCCTCTGTCCACTGTCAGTGCCTTTCCTCTGAAGATTGTTAAAAGCATACCTGTCATCTCAGTCCCTCAGTGAGAGCTGTTCTACCTCGCTGCATCTAGTTGGCTATCTTGCCCTCCCCTGCTGCTTTTTAAAATAAAGCAAAATTGACTTTCATTAGTTATACTCTCACCTTTAATACTAAAGCAAATGCTATTAAATTGAAGTTATTCAAACCTAAATATTTTTGACAGAAATTACATCCATATTTCTGGAAAAGCTATTACTGTCTTGATACACAATGAATTTTTGTTATCATTACTTTTGATGCCTTTATGAAACTAAGGGCTTCCTTGAGTCTCTAGTCTTTCTGTCAAGAACATTAACGTCATTCTTTTATGAGGAATGAAAGTACGTTATAATTTATCTAACTTCTAAGTCTATTTAGGCCAAAAATTACCACAAAAGGCCTGGTGCAGTGGCTCATGCCTGTAATCTCAGCACTTTGGGAGGCCGAGACAGGCGGATCATCTGAGGTCGGGAGTTCTAGACCAGCCTGACCAACGTGGAGAAACCCCGTGTCTACTAAAAATACAAAATTAGCCAGGCGTGGTGGTACATGTCTGTAATCCCAGCTACTTGGGAGGCTGAGGCAGGAGAATTGCTTGAACCTGGGAGGCGGATGTGGTGGTGAGCTGACATCGTGCCTTTGCACTCCAGCCTCAAGAACAAAACTCCCTCTCAAAAAAAAAAAATATTTACCACAGAAAATTGATAAATTAATATTGTAAGAGTGATACGTTTAGAGTATGGACTTCTATGTAAAGGTTATGTGCAATTTTCATTGGATAATTTTCAAAGTCTTCATTATGAATACTGAAATGAAAAAGGTTTAATAAGTAGGAAGAAAAGGAGGAAAAAGAATAGAAAATGTAGTATGGTTTCTTAGAAATATAAAATCATTATAGAGATCTATTTATAATTTGTATCCTGTCAATTGCTAAGGAAAGCATTAGGCCTTGTCACTAAAATTATATTGAAGTATATTATACATATATAAATATACATAAGTTATAAGTATATAGCTTGATAAATGTTACAAAATTCTGCAACATACCTACATAACTAGCCCTTAGTTCAAGAAGGAGAGCATAAAAAAAAGGAAGGAAGAGGGAAGGAAGAAAGGAAAAAAAGAAAGGAAATTAAAGGAAACATGGATTACTAGAAATCCAGATGCCCTCTTGTGGTTTCTGCCTATCCACCAAGTGCAAACATTACCCTGATTTCTAAAACATTTAAGTAGTTTTGTCTATTTATGAACTTTATGGTCATAAAATATATACTCTTTATGATTGGCTTCGTTCGCTCAACGTTCTTAGTGGCATTGCTTCTTTTTCATCCATAATCTAATCCATCTATACTTACTGCTGTATTGTATTCCATTGTATAAAATCAACTTGTATTGTTGATAAAATTTTGATTTTGTCTAGTTTGGGACTATTATGAATACTCTTGCTCTGAACTTTTTAGTACCTGTCTTTGGTGCCAAGATAGTCACATTTCTGTATGCTAGAGACCTAGAAAAAGTACTAGATTATAGGTTATGCATATGTTCAGCTTTAGTATATACTGCCAAATGGTTTTCTAATGTGGTCCTTACAATTTACATTTCCACCAGGAGTGCATGAGAGTTTCGTTTGTTTTGCATCTTGGCAAACATTTGTTATATTTTCTTTTTCCATTTTAGTTATTTTGGTGGCTATGTAACTGAACTGCATTGAGATATAATTTGCATTTCCTTGATAACTAATAAAGTTGAAGCCATTTTATATGTTTAGTGCCCATCTGAAGGTAATTTTTTTCAAGTATCAGTTTAAGACTTTTGCATCATTATATTGCATTGTCTACCTTTTTCTTATTACATTGTGGATACAAGTATATTATCAGATATATATGTGTATACATATGTGTATATATACACACATACGTATATATACACACACATATATATACATATACACACATACACACACGAATATCTTCTCCCACTCTAGTTTTTTATTTTCTTAATTTTGATAATAATAATTTCTTAAATTGAATGTAGTTACACATCAATTTTTCTTTTTTATGACTTTCTGGTTATTTTTGTTAACTTGTTATTATGTATGTATATATGTATGTATGAGATAGGGTTTTACTCTGTCACCCCTGGTGAAGTGCATTGACATTGTCATAGCTGACTATATCCTCAAACTTCTGGACGTATGCAATCCTTCTATCTCAGTTTCCTAGGCAGCTAGGACCACAGGAGCATGCCACCTGCCCAGCTATTTTTTTTTTTTTTTTTTTTTTTTTGTAGAGACGAGTTCTCACTATGTTGCCCAGGCTGGTCTTGAGCTCCTTGCCTCAAGTGATTCTTCTGCCTAATCCTCCCAAAGTTCTTAAATTATAGGTATGAGCCACCACACCTGGTCCTGGTTTCTATTTTTTAAAGTTTTGCCAATTATAATACGTATATCTCTGTTTTCTTTTAAGAGCTTTAAAATTTTAACTTTTGCATTCAGAGCTACAATCGTCTATAATCAATTTATGTGTATAGCCTGAGATAAGAATCAAGATCTTTTCTGTCTGTGTGTCTGTGAATGTCTAATAGGCTTGGCACCACTAGTGCCAGTGTAAGACATTATTTACTTACTGCACTGTCAACTTTGTCTTTAATAAGTTGGTCATATATATTTTGTAAGTGTAGTTTTTAAAAGAATTATATTTTAGTTGAAGGTTAATTGGCAATTTCTGATAGGTAAAGTCTCTAGTTTTGTTTGTTCTGTTTATATTGCATTCTGGCTTTCTTACTTAGAAACCTAAAGCACAGGGACTGCCATTATAATGGCCTCCCTGTTAAGATTTTTAAACACTTGTTTTTATTTATTTTACATATTATGTATCCATTGATCTGACTCCTTAAAGTTGGGTCTATTATTTCTAAGTTCTATTGGTAACCTTTACATCTAATAACTGTTCACAGCACACCAGCTGTCTTATTTCATGTGTGATTCAGTAGACATCCAGGCAACAAATATTATATTTATGACCCCCTACTATTAATTCTTCCTTTTCTATAATGATAACTTTGCAACAATTCAGTAAGTCCATTTTAGAAAATTTCTTTTTTTTTCTTTTTTCTTTTTTTTTTCTTGTGACGGAGTCTTGCCTTGTCGCCCAGGCTGGAGTGCAGTGGCACAATCACGGCTCCCTGCAATGTCCACCTCCCAGGTTCAAGCAATTCTCATACCTCAGCCTCCTGAGTAGTTGGGATTACAGGCAATTCCACTTCTGATTTAACTTTGTCAAGAGTTCCTTGACCACTCTCAGAATTGATTACTCACTAGAAAAACTAAAAACGCTTAGAAAAAGTGTTACATTTATGGCTACAATTTATTAAATAGAAAAGATACAGATTATATTTAGGAGAGAAAGTAGGAGGTAGGAAAGCTTTCAAAGGAGACCAAGTGCACACCTCCAGTTGCCCTGTCACAGTGGAATCACACAAGCAGTACATAATTTTCCCAGTCTTAATGTGACATGTGCAAAGTTTTGCCAAGTAGAGAAACCAACCAGAGTCTTGGTGTCCAAAGTATTTTATTGGGGTTCAATTGTATAGGCATGCAGTGGGCACATGACTGGCTCTAGCTACTCAATCACCATTTCTACTGTAGGGGTCATACTAATACAGCATGGCCCAGAGACCCAGGCATACAAAAACAAGATATTCACTATCACTTATGTGGTTACAATCATATACATGTTTTTACCCAAGACCTCAAGTGAACTAAGACACTCTTTCTTATCAGGTAGAATTTTCCAAGGTCATGGAGATTACCTTCTAGGGGCAAGTCTAGAACCAGTTCTGAAGACCTTTAAAATGTACATGGTTGGGGAAGTCCACACCAATTGAATTAACATTTTGTTGCAGAGCTTTATACTACCATTGGTGCAGGATATTTTATATTGAATCATTTGTTCATTTGTTCATTGAATCATTTGTTCATTTGTCACAAGACCACAAGACCACAAGACCTGTTGAATGAATGAATGCATGATTTCCAGGTACCTGTTCTCAGGCATGGAAATATTCAAGGCTCAAATAGAAAAATCAATGGCTACCTTAGTGATGCAAGAACTTCCTTAAACTAACCATTTATCCACTCTCCACTCAAGCCATTAATATTTAAAATATGCACAAATAGCAAATATGACTATTAATTGAGATAAGCTAACAGCTGAGAATTCTGAACAAAACACAGCTAGATATTTACCTTGCTGTATCTCCAGCTAAGGCTGATCACTTTTGGCTGTCCATGTGTGAGGAACACTATTTACAAATTACATGTCAAACATGTTAAAAAATATTCCATGATACTGGTTAAAGCATAATAAGAAACACTTTAGTCAGAATAATAAGATGGGTATAGACACCACTGCAGTAAGATTTTGTAGTTGGGGAGAAAGATTGAGCTCAACTCTAAATACAGTATAGGTAAGTAAGAACTTATAGGCAAGGAGCAGGCTAAGGATTGATGGATGGAAACTTACTAAGAGGAAACAAGGATGAGGGGTATTCTGGTTAAAGTGACCAAACCAGTTCTTGCTGGGGACAGCCAGGGTGATCAACCTTGTGGGATGGCGGACAGTGAGAAACCTTATGAAACATTGAGGCTGATCAGATATTAAGGATGAAGTGTTCTTGCTAAACTGATTTTTCAAGGTAATTTGCTACAGCTGAATTTTACAAGAAAGTTTATAGATGGGCCTAGAGTAAGGTACAGAAGTCTGACAAAAGCAGTAACAGAACAGGAGTCACTCTGAGAGAGACTTGAAACTAGGACCTAGAATTTGAATTACTTGCTTGATAAAGAAGACACAAATTTTTTCTATTATGTTTTACTTGAAAATGTGATTTAAGACTGTAGATTAGTAGAAGATGAGAAAAGGATACAGCCTGCATCCATGAAAAGGAAATGGCCAGTTTATCGTTTTCTATCTAGATCTGTTATGTTAAACATGGGCTCATGGACATCCAATTTGAATATGCATGGTCAGTGGAGCAAAACTATTGCAGGTGCCAAAGCTAGCACAGCTGAAAACATAAGGTATCATTGGGTAAATTTAGTCCCAAATAAGTAGAAAAAAATGAATTAAAGTAATACATATTTATGAACCTTAAATGGCTAATAAGTGAATATATAAATTAATTTTGTGGAGAAATCAGGCAAACTAAGAAAGTATACATTAAACAAAAAAGCTTAGAAATAGAAAACAAAATGCTCAAAGATCTTGGCCGGGCACGATGGGATTACACCTGTAATCCCAGCACTTTGGGAAGCCGAGGTGGGCAGATCACGAGGTCAAGAGGTCGAGACCATCCTGGCCAACATGTTGAAACCCCATCTCTACTAAAAATTCAAAATTAGCTGAATGTGGTGGCACATGCCTTTAGTCCCAGCTACTCAGGAGGCTGAAGCAAGAGAATTGCTTGAACCTGGGAGGTGGTGGTTGCAGTGAGCTGAGATCACACCACTGCACTCCAGTCTGGTGACAGAGGGAGACTCAGTCTCAAAAAAAAAAAAAAAAAGAATGTGTATTCTCTAGACATTTGAAAAATCCTCTCTCAAATCAAGAGCCAACAACTAATGAAACATAGGTGTCAGTGACCACTTATGACGAAGAGTAGAGCTTTAAAAATAAACTGAAATGATCACTGAATAAGTAATGACAACTCACAGCAAACAGTCACAAAGCCTAGGGAGGGAGGAGAATTTGATTTCCAGATTTACTACAGTATAGTATTCAACATGTCCACTTTTCAACAATAAAAAATGATGAGCCAGGCAAGATGATATGCACTACAGGTGCCAGATACTCAGGAGGCTGAATTGGAAGAATTGTTTAAGCCTAGGCATTTCAGTGCCCTATGACTGAGTCTGTGAATAACCACTGTACTGCAGACTGGGCAACATAGGAAGACCCCATCTCTAAAAAATAAAATAAATAAGCAAATAAAAACATAGTCATTCAAATGAACAACAAAATATTATTCACAGGAAAATATACTAATGAGTTAACAGAAACTCTCTTAGGAAGCACAGACGTAATATTTATTAAACTAAGCCTTTGAATCAGCTTTCATAAGCACATTTTAAAAGCCAAAAGAAAAATGAACAAAGAGTAAAACAAATGAGTAAAACAATGTCCTGCCAAATAGAATATATCACTAAACAAATAGGGATTTTTAAAAAGTCAACCAAATAGAAATTCTAGAACAAATGTATACTAACTGAATAATAGAGGGCTTTAACAGAGCACTTGAGCAAGCATATAAAAGAACTGATAAACTTAAAAATAAGTAATTAAGAGTCTGCTAAAAAGTAAACACAAAAGAAAAAGGTAATGCAGAAATTTAGAAACAAAACTTTCAGGATCTCTGATTATCACCAACATTTAAACTCTGCTTGCAAGCACTCCTCCCTCTGCGATTCTGTGTGGTATCCAAGGTGTTTCTTCCTTGGCATGTGAGAATATGTAGGTAATAAGCTAAAGTCAGTTTTACAGTGCCAGGCATCATGTGTTTGGTCATATTCTTAACCCTAACAGGCAATTTTTCCCTCATCAAGGCGATCAGTAGGTAGGTGAAACAAAGCATTCCCTAATTACTGTGGGGCAGGAATGTAAGGGAGAGCTCCACTTATGGTCTCCCTGAATGCAAAGCCCATGGGGATGGGGTGATAGGCTGCACCTAAATGGCAGGATGAGAATGGAAGACAGAGCCCTGTTCAGTATTTGCCTTGACAGTGCGTTCAATTTGGGTTGGGAGAAGCTAGGCCTCAATATTGCAGGGTGAGGATGAAAGAGTTCTGCTCCTAGTTTTTGTAACACTAGCACTGTGGGAAGAGAAGTATTATGTCTTACTTGTGTGTGATGTTTGCCAGAATATGAAGAAGTGTCATCCAGTAATCACTTTCTGCATAGGCCATCTTTATCCCATGCTTCTTTGGCTAGAGAGAGCATGTTAGATTTTTTTTTTTTTCCATTATTTTTCAGTTGCCTTTTCCAGGTTACTGTGTTCTCCACTACTGAACCAGGATATATAGGAGGCAAAACAAAACAAAACAAAAGACATACCCAGGGCAGTAGCCGTTAAACCACTCCTGTTGTTCCAAGTTAGTCTGCCTTCTTTTCTGTACCTTTCAGAGTCTTTAGATTGATGCTTTATAAGTTTTTACAAGCCCGTTGCTATAATTTTTGAGAATAGAATAGAGTTTGCTTATCCCATCTTGTCTAGAACCAAAAGTTTCAACTTTTGGTATTTCAAGAAAACTTTGAGACATTTAAATCCATTTTGTCTTGTATTTCCTGCATGAAGCAGTAGCTTGTCAGTTCTTATGCCTTCTAAAC